GAGGAAGATCAACTCTGAAGATGCGAAAGTAGGTTGGCAGACGGCTTGTACTATCGAGTTGAAAAAGGCTCGACGCGGCCAAGCCTTGGCACACGCCACATGGAAAACATCAGTGCAACAGCCTTGTATCTCCGCCTAGGAATCAGAGAACTCCAGAAATGCTCATCTTCCGGGCCGTACCCCACTCGTTAACGTACCCCACTCGTTAAGCGGGCTAACCTTATGGCAGGCCACGCGCCTGGGAACAGATCGGCCAACAGACCCATGAAAATCTTCCTTGTCGCGACATGCTTGGGTTGAGGCTTAGGGGTTGGCGGCTTGGAGCTTTCCTAATGGAAAATAGGGGTTATATAGGGACAATGGCAAATAAAAAAGGAAACTAGTATTTAGGGTTTAGGGTTTTTAGGGGTAGATGAGGCTTGGCTTAAAGTACTGCTCAAAAACCAGGGGGATTATGTAGGGACTCGTATTGCAATAGGAACCTCACGATAGGGACCCATAGTTCAATCAGTTTAGGGAAATCCCTATTAGAGCCCTAAGCTGAAATGCAGTTGCACAGCTTGAGGGTCAGAGTTGAAACGAGGGAAAGGTCCTATTCTGCTTGAAAACTTGTCCAAGCCCTACACCTAAGTCCTGACCCACCACAGATGGAGCCCGATATCCTAACCCCCCGCTAAATACCTAAACCGCGAGACCCTACATCCCGAAACCCCAAAACCCTAACTCTGTTCAAGTATCAGGTCATCACCCTCAATCTTGGCCACGTTGGTGTCCTGAGGCGAGGCTATATTGCCAAAGGTTAGGGCCAAGCTTCAGTGAAGGTTTAGGCTTTAGGGTTTAGGGCTTGAGCGTTTAGGGACTTAGGGTCAAGGGCCTTAAGGGCTTTAGGGCTTCGGTTTGGGGGTTGAAGGTCAAGGGTTGAGAGTTTGGGGTTAAGGAGTTATGGTTTAGGGTTTGGGCTTAAGGGGTTAGCGGTTAGGGATTTGTGGTTTAAGGTAATAAATTTGCAATGGCATAGGATCAGTACATAGATGGCTTTATGTAAAGACATGTAGCCCCCAATTCCCTACTACAAAATCTACAACTTGTGGTCTCTAGGTAGCCTAAACCCGAAGCCTCAACCCCAGAAACCGTCCTCATCCCCGATATAACCACTGCACCGAACCCGCCATCGGCCAGAGCCTAGATAAATATGACCTGTTCTCTATACCCAACATGTAAGCTACCTCTCTAAACCCTAAACCTTTCCCTCGAAAGTTTTACAGGCCCCATAATGCATATCAGTCTGACTTAAATCTGGATTGTTTGGGCCGGATGGCAGTCCATAAGCATTGTGCATGTAACCCTTACACGCTAGACTCTAGACTCCAAGCCCTAAGCTCTGAACCCTGAACTGAAAACCACAAGCCTTAAATCTGAAACCCAAAGCCCCAAACCATGTACCCCACGCCCCAAACTCCAAACCCTGAATCCTAAAGCCTAAGCAAGCCTTAAGACGGAAACCCTGAATTGCAACTACGCACCACATGCTTTCAAGGGTCTCGTAGCGAGCGCATGAGCACCGCCTGCTCTGAGAGGGTCGCATCCGCTCCTTGGCGTAGGCTGTAGAAGACTTTAGAGGTTCCAGTATATGGGGTTGAGGATTGAGGGCTTGGGCTCTAGGATTTGGAGTTTGGGGGCTGAGTCTTTGAGGATATAGGGTCTGAGGTTCATTGAGGCCTAGGGTTTCTGGGGTTTAGGGTTTAGGGTTTAGGGTTTTAGGGGTTTCTGGTCCCCAACTCTAAGCCTCTAAACCCTTAAACTCTAAACCTAGGCGCAACTCTTTCCCGCACCCGGCTGTCAGGGCTGGCCAGGGTTTCACAACTAAGGGACCCTCTTGGCAGACGGCTTGAGCACGAGAGGTCTGGGGTTTAGGGCTTAGGGTTGAGGGTCTAGGGCTTAGGATCTACGGTTTAAGGTTTGGGGCTGGCAGAAGCTTGCAAATAGCAGATGTTTGCAAGAATGCTGTTGAAGGAGGAAACCTTGCACCTCTGAAGGTGACTAAACTATTGCAATTCCTACGAAATATGGAACGTAGGCTCCATGATTGACAGCCCTAAACCCAGAACTCTAAACCCTAAACCCCCAAACCCCCAAACCCCCAAACCCTAAACCCTAAACCCTGAGCATGAAGCTGGTAACTCATGCTGCACCTCTGCCCGGACTCTGCTCTGAAGGGGTCTCCGTACATAATTAGTTTTCTTTGGTTCCGTCCTACAAGCAGCCAGAACGCAAATCCTAGAGTTGTAAACTCAAACGACTGACTGCTGCTTGAGGGAGGGTGGGATAGTGGATCTCCATAAGAGTCCCTGTAAAATTCCCGTATATACGTCTATGAGTCTATAATGGTGACTATGTTCACTCTCCCACTCCCCTTTAAGCAGCAGTAGGGTGACTCTGCAGCAAGGTGGCGCTTGAAGCCTCCGGCCACGACCAGCACAGACTTGATGGCACGCATGCCCCAATCCTGAGAAATGGCTAGAGATGGAGGGGCCAACTTCATAAATTACGAGTGGAAAAATTTTGTAGAAGGCAATTTTGCTGCCTTCTACAGAAGGCGTCAGGTTTTCGTAGTTAAAGGTTTCGGGTCTAGGGTAAGGATTTCGGACTAAGTGTTGATAACATAGAAGAAATCAGACGGATCAAGCCGGATCCGTACAGAAAGGACTCTTCGCCGGCTGCCTTGCGAAGTGTTTTGGCTGAGACAGGAAAAACCCAAAATAAGTAATCACAACATGGGCCCACAATCCTGAGAAATATCCGTCCCTGGGGGTTTAGGATTGAGGGGCTTGGGGCCAAGCTTGGGTTTATTGGGGCTCGGGCTTAAATCTCTCGAGCTTCATATAGCAAGGAAACCTATTTACTATATACCCATATTAAGTTACGTACGTTCCTTGACAGCAACCCAGAGGA